AGGCACGGAGCGCTTTGCCCCCACCAGCGCCCCCCCTGCTGTAACCACTAGTCCCCACTCCCCCCGCCCCTGGGCCAGGCAGAGAAGCCGGGCGTCCGAGCTCCCCGCCTCTGCCTTGCTCTAACCACTAGACCCCGCTCCCCACTGAGTCACGGTGACGCGCTGCCAGGGCCCTGCCCCCCCCCTTGGCCCGCTGCCCCCGGGGGCGACGCCAGCCGCTTGGTAGCCCGGTCACATCCGCCCTGAGCCGCCGGGGCCCCGGTTCAAGTCCCGCCCCGGCCTCCTCGGCGCCACCCTCCCCTCCCCTGCTTCCCCAGGCCATTCAGCAGTAACGACCCCCTTGCTAATTAAAGGGGTTCATTGGGAACCCCCCCCTCCCCCCCAGGGGCTCAGTGTTAGCAAAGCCCTTTTAATTAAAGGGGCTCAACATTAACAGCCCCCCAGCTACTTAAAAGGGGCTCAATGTTAATACCCCCGGCTACTTCAAGGGGTTCAATGCTAACGACCCCCAGGCTAATTAAAGGGGTTCAGTGGTAACAGCACTCCACTTATGGTGGTTCTGTTCATACCCACAGTTAATTAAAGGGGTTCAATGGTAACAGCCGGCAGCTAATTAAAGAGGATCAATGTTAAGAGCAGCCTAACTAAAGGGGATCAACATTAACGACCCTCAGCTGTTTAAAGGGGTTCAACGTTAATACTTGAGTCAATTAAAGGGGCTCAAGCTTGAGGGTGCCCTTCTAATTAGAGGGGGTCAACCTTCATACCCCTGGCTAATTAAAGGGGTTCAATGTTAACAATTTTCAGCTAATTAAAAGGGTTCATTGTTAACAACCCCCCAGCTTGTCAAAGGGGTTCACCATTCACTATACCCTTCTAATTAAAGAGGTTCAACATTAACAACCCCCCAGCTAATTAAAGGGGCTCAATGTTAATGACCTCTGGCTAATTAAAGAGGTTCAACATTAACGACCCACAGCTCCTCCCACAGGGGCAATGTTAACAAGCCCTGGCTTGAGCAAGGGGTTCAAACTTAACGCCCTCTGCTAATTTAAGGGGTTCATTATTAACAACCCCTGGCTCATTAAAGGGGCTCAATGTTAATGACCCCTGGCTAATTTAAGGGGTTCAACGTTAAGAAGCCCCCCGAGACGCAGCGAAGCTGGAGGGGAGTGGGAGACGCCCACGCAGGCCTTCCTGTGCCTCAGTTTCCCCTCCCGTGGGGAGAGAGCTGCACGCAGTGGGGCCGGGGTGGGGGGGCTTATCCCGGGATAAGTGTGGACAGACTGGGGCTAG